GCACTCACTACACGCTACTCTTAACGGCTTGATGTTTTCAGTCTGTGTAGTAGCGTAAAACTTTGACGTATCGCACTTCCCACCAATAGCAGCCCTCTAGTCCAGCTGATAATAAACATTCCCCGCGCACCGCAACAGAAACGATTTCCCGCTGCAGGGATTTTCTCGTCATCTGTGGACCGTACACACAAGACATTTATAAGCCGGGAGAATTTCAAACAAAACTTGCGACAGAAAAATTTCTCTAGACACATGTGTAGCCATGTTAAATATCTGATGATTGCTGGTGGTGATCACAACCGATGATTACTGAAAACGATTAGTATAACAATGGCGACGGTGAGTTAAAATAAACACAATGCAATTATTTTGGGGGTGGCGCAGTGGTCACGCGATCTGAGGCATGGTCCTCGTGCGCCTGACTGCTGCGAGCGTGGGTTCGAGTCCCACTCAAGGCATGGATGTTTGTCCTCGACCTTTCTCTTCCAGTCTGATGGATAAAGACTGGCCACGGAAGGCAAGGCGAAACCACCGTGGTACTTTCACAAGAAAACCCAGAAAAGGGGTCACGACGGTCAAGCTGACCATAGACGATGAAAAACAAAATATTTGTCCCCATTTGAATATACGGGGTCCGCAGTGGCCTTGTGTCGCTTGGTCGCTGGGACCGTGGGTTCGAATCCCACTCAAGCCATCGATGTTTTCCCGCGTTTTTCTGTGTCGTGCTGTCCTGTGTACAGGTAGAGGCCTTGGGACGGGCCGATCCATCGTCCAAGGAGTGCTACCAACTGTGTAATAGATCAAGCCAACGAAAAGTTGGGACCCGCAGTGCTCAGGCACTTGAAGAACGGGTCGTTCCCAGTATCCAGTTATATAGAGCGATATTTGACTCGTATGTGTGAAACTTTGTAGCGTTTGGCAGTGAGTCATGCGGAACCGGACTTACTAATAAAATAAGTAAGCTATATTTTACTTATTTTATTCGTAAGTCCGGCCCTGAATGTCAGGTGTTTAGCGCATTTAATCTCGTCTTAGTGCGCGGTCCACACTAATAAATTAAGATAGAGATTTTGTGTCATACAGTGGGTGTATGAAGAAAGGAATCGGTACTTCGGCGAGCCCCTTTCATCGAGCAGTCTTATCCCGAACGGACATCGGTGGGTCAGATTTGGAGTCCCACAAATGGGCAGTAAGTAGAAAGGGCTGTGAGACAAGGTCGGACGAAAGTAGGCCCTCTAAAACGTCTAATGGAAGAGTGTCAAGCCCGTCTGGAGTCCCTAAATAGGCCAGCAAGGAGTACAGCCAAATAGCAGATAATAAAGTTTCATGTTTTCATAGATTGTATAATGGTTAATCAAGTATGTTAAACATGGATTACACAAACATTGATTATTTACTCAATATTGGCAACACACGTGCATGTGACGTCACACACGTATTATTCTGACATCTGTCCGCATCTATCGAAAAACTATTGTGAAAACAATTTATTTGTCAGTTGGATGCGACGATATGAACACAAAGTTTTGGTGGGAAAACCAGAAGGAAAGAGACCACTAGGAAGACCTAGATGAAGGTGTGCGGATAATATTAAAATGGATCTTGGAGAAATAGGATGGGGTGATATGGACCAGATTCTTTTGGCTCAGGCACCAGTGACGGGATCTTGTGAACACAGTAATGAACCTTCGGCTGCTATAAAATGTTGAAAATTTCTTGAGTGACTGAGCGAATGTTGGCTTCTGAGCAAGAGCTCGGCTCCAGAAGTAAGTTGGCCAGTCGGTAACAACGGTAACTACACATGTTAGTTAACCCCCCCCCTCCCTCCCGGCAACACAGCAGCAATTTAGGTTGGTGGAAAATGACCGAAGCTCATACATGGTATCCATGCTCACAGTTCGGTATTTACGTTCATCATCATGGCGATGTTGGCAGCAATTATCAGTGAACGTTCTTCAGTTTCAACGAGACTGTACTATGCGGCTCTAAGCCACTATCCTAGAAAACAGACTTCGTCTTTCTAACCACTAAGGGAACTAGAAATCTTACCTAGATTGTCCGATTTCTGTAACTAAATGTATTGTTTTTAAATTATGACTATTCGATAGTTTGATTCGATGGAACTGTTAGATTGCGCCCATCACTGGTAACCAATATTGATACAAAAATTTACTCCGGATGTAAGTATTTATTGTCTCTACGTTTGAGTTGCAAATTTATTTGATTCTATTCTATTTTTCACTTCGGGGTATGTGGCAAAGATTGAGGTATGGTAGGTAACCTAAAATGACAAGGTTAGGTTTAGCCTACAGCAGAGATTATATCTAAGTGTTTGGGTGTTTCTACATGCGTTTCTGATATCGGTAGCTCTGTGTATGAATAAACGAACATAGACATGAAATTCAGAGCTACCATTTGTCGTGGTGCAAATAAAATTCTAACCAGCCCAGAATCAGATTCTGGTTGTCAAATATTACTGACTGAAATATTCTGGTTTATCAGTAATCGGAATTGACATTTTTAACCACACTGTATTGCGAGTAGTAGTAGTATAACTGGTTACTGATACACACTGTATTGCGAGTAGTAGTAGTAGTATAACTGGTTACTGATCTCTACATTCATTTCCTCTGTCAAGTTGTGCAAGGCACCAGTGTCCACTTCATGTTCACTCAACTGCCATGTTATGTTTGTTTAGTTTAGAGTGGGTAGTAATATATTCTCACATAGTTCAGGTACTATGGTGGTGCAGTAGACCAAGTTAATTCTCCTTGAGACCAAATAAGTTGTCACAATGGCCCAGTGTATTCAGTTGATACCATGCTGTCATTAGTGAGTGTTTTATGGATTTCCACAGGACTTTGAATATTTCTTTAAGGTCAGGGTGCTGCCTTTGAATTCATTGTAGGATATGATAAGGTCTGAGGATGTCATGGTTCCACAGTTTAGGGATTTCTAAAGTTAAAATATGCATCTAATTAAAGGAAAATGGGCATTTGAAAGAATCAGGCAGTGAATTCTTGTAAGAAGCATTGAATGAGGCAAGGAAACTTCTTCATGTCAAACATTTGACTATAACACATTCAAGTTTCTGTGTGTATAATGAAGGTGCTATTTTCATAAATAACTTTGCTGGTGGTTTAGGGTGCCTAACCTTATAAAGTGGGAGGATGTAACTAGGTTTCTACACTTACTTAAATCTTGGCATTCATTGAATGTGATAATCATCTCACTGAGCTGCCAGTACTGCTGGGGAAACTGTCCTGAGCACCTACAGATTAGCTGGGTAGGTCCCAAAGATATCTGGGGCGTGGTGAAAGGCAACAGATTTCTTAACCCTACATTTAACAGTTCCTGCAAGAAGTTTGTTTTGGAAGTAGTAATATTAAAATTAAGGTTATGTTTGATTCTTACTGTGTGCTAGGAATAATGGCTATTAGCTTTACCCTTCTACTTTCTTTTCTTACCCCACAAGTTCAAATTCTTGCATGTTTTCAAACATTTGTAATATTTTCTTTACAGATTTATGAAAATTTGATGAAGAATGGATGAAATTGAATATAAACTGCAGAAGAAGAATGCCATTTTAGTGGTGAATGTAAGTACTCCCATTATGTCTTTTAATTTGGCAGTAAATAACTTTAAATTCCAAAAAACAATAATTAACTTCTTGTATCCTAATACTGATTCTGTTTTGTGTGTACAGTGATAGACCAAACAGCTATTGCATAACTTATAACTTTTTGGTTTTTTCTCATATCTAGGTATTATAGTAATTTAAATAAGGTTGCCAGGACATGTAGTATGCAGTTTAATCTTTATTCATGTGAGATTTAAATCTACTATTCCCATGCAATAAAGGTTAAAGGAGGAATTAAATTAAACTTTATTTATTTCTGAAACTTTATGTGTGTAATATTAATGTTTCTTTGGTTTCTGGCCTGGTGTGGTTTATTCACTAACAAAATATTTACTTGATTGTTGACAGGCAGTTTCCAAACTTGTTGATACTATAAAAATGAAAGGTGCTCCACATTCTGGAAAAATTGAAGAGGTGAGAAATAAAAAATAATATCTGTCTTATTGATGTTTGAATAAAGGGAAAAAATTTACATGGGTGAAATTATAAGTGCATGCACAATTTTGTTTAGTTTAAAAGCCTGAATGGAAGAGACCATCAAGAAGACCTGGGTGTAGATGGGAGGACAATATTCAAAGTATTAAAATCAGGGCTGTGGAGTTGGTATTAAAACCCCTGGCTCCGTGTCAGACTCCTTCATAAAAGCTCAATATGTATTAATTATGGTAAACCTACTAAAATGGTAAATGGTACCACAAGATTTTTCATCATCACCATGTGAATCATCAGGCTACTTTTTAGACTTATAACATATATTTAAATATAAGTCTAATGGTTATTGCAGAAATCGTTTGATTTATAGACAGTTTGTATTCTTAAGGTGCTGGGGACAAAGTTACAAAGCATTATTCCCACACCACGTGGCTCTATGCTTCATTGAATCTCCCGGAGCGTGTGGCTGCCAGCAGCTCACATGGTAGCGAAAGTGTTAAAATAGTATTTTCTTAAGATTTTATATCGAAGTCGGAGTTGATACATTTTTACCGACTCCGACTCCACCTAAAATTTCTTCTGACTCTGACTCTACAGCCCTGATTAAAATTGATTGTAAGGAATCCAGGAGGAGGGTATGGATTGGATTCATCTGGCTCAAGAAAGAGAGTGGTGGTGGGCTGTTATGAACACAGTAGTGAACCTTAAGATCCCATAAAAGAGCAGGGGATTTCTTGACTATGTGTGTGAATGTCAGCTTCCCAAGAGGCCATCTGCTCCATGAAGTTATTTATGAAGAGAAAGAATGTACAGGAATAAAAAGCAATGCCACATAATCTGTTGGTTTAAATGTATGAAAGAGGTTCATAGCCTATAGATAAGTAACATTGTTAACTATTAGTTATAACCTCTACTCATTGATTTCCATAGTTGTTTGATATTTTTGATAATTATTAAACTGAGTTATTAGTCCAAAGGACTGCATCCACCTAACACCGTGTTATTGTTTTTGTGGTCAACATTACAGTATGTTCAATCAAGAATGAAACTAATCTTCTAATAGGTTAACAGCAAACTGCTGCATACCTGTAGGATTTGAGGTTCTCATGTTGGTGAGTATGAAGATGACTGTCTTCCGGGTTGTAGTGCCGTGCTGGTAGAAATTTACCAATGTTTCAGACGTTCATACTGCCATCATCATCAGGCTACAACCCAGAAGACAGCTGTCGTCTTACTGCATACCTACACGCAGAACAGCACACATTTATGTCCTGTGTCAATCTCATTTATCACACAGAGCTTTTTGACTTAATATGTACTTAGAAACATGACAATTTAACATATTTCATAAGAATTGTTTGAAGTGCCCCCTTTCTGCTCTCATGCATGTCTTGCATCATATAAGCAAGAGTGAGACACTTCTATGAAGTTCAGCTTCAGTAACTGAAATAATTCCATTTATTATTTTATTCCAGAGGGCTTTAGTAGTGTGAGGGTTATTCTTATACATTTTAGTTTCCCCACAGTTAAAAGTCGGTTCAACAAAATCAGGGGATCTTGTCAGTACTTTGCTGATTATTCTGTTGTCAGACACTTCACGTGTATTATCCATTGATTATCAGCATTATATGCATGCACTGTAATGCTGGAAATACTCATATTTTTCTTCAGCTGTAAGTTAATAAATAAAGTTTAAAATTATTCATTGTCAGGACTTTTTCCATCGTCTGTTCTTTAAAACCACGACGTTTCAGAGGCTGTATACGTGTATACGTGCAAGGTTAATATTCTGTATCTGGTGGTTTTAAAGAAGAGACGATGGGAAAAGTCCTGACAGTGAATAATTTTAAGTGTAAACTACCGTCGTCAAAACCCTTTAGAATTGAATTAATAAATAAAGTATTCAGTATATTGTTCATGTACTGATAAAAGTTCTCAGTTTGGTGAAAAAATATCAGGCTAATGACCTGACTTTCACTTACAGTACTTCGAGCCCCCGTTTTAAAACTGTGTAATGACAATTGTTGAATAATGTGGGTATGTTAATTTCTCCTTATTCTTACATTTTGCATATTGACAAGTCTACTAATGTAAAGCCATGCTTCATTATTTATGAACAGAAACTAAGCATGGTAGAAGAATGATGCTAAGAACAGAATTGATTGTTTCTAAGAGAAGATTACAGAAAGGAAGGTTAAAACCTTTAAAAACTGCCCTGGGTTTAATTGCTGGTGAAGATAGTTTCAGTAGCTAGGAATCTAAGCATGATAAAATGGTTCACAGAACAAAATTGTTGTAGCAAGGAAATTAGAGGAACTAAGATCACAAAGCAAACAACTGCCCTGGGTTTTTATATCAATGAAGATGCTGGGTTTAGGGTTGGTAATAATTGTTGTGTATTGAATGATCATGCCTGTGGTAAACTTTTGGGAAATAAAAATTAATAAGAAATATAAAGATTTTTTTTAAATTTCCC